CTCGAGTCGACCCAATTTGATCGGAATTAAACGTGAGTAGCCGCGCAAAATTCGGAGGGACAAATATGTACACAATCTCGTTCGCATTCGTTTCTCTTTCTGCATCCGGTCCTTCAATATTCGAATATATCCGATGAAAGATGCTCGGATGACGAAGGACCGACGGAAGTGGAAACGAGGGATTGATTGCATTCAAGGAAAGAAGTCCGTGCAACGTTAATCTTGCTCGGCGACAACGTTAGCTCGGGCTCTTTATTTCCCGACTTCCGTCGCCGCGGCATCTCCCGCGGGATCAACCCTCTCCAAAGCTCACCACCCTCCGGCAAAGAGGCCACCCCTCGTGTGAGAGCCAGCGATCCATCATAAATTTAATATTCGAAATTTCAGGAATGTTCCGCACGCTTTGGGAGGCCATCCGTTCCGAGCGGCGATATAATAAATTCGAACCGATAATATACTGGTAAGCGCGCAGTTACTCGATGGAAATCGGAAAAGTCACGTTTTATCTTCGGCTAGACGATAGGCAGATTACGTACGTACGCGCAGGAACAAAACTTCATAATGCGAGCATCAAGCGAAACCATAGCAACCAGTGCCAGAATCCGACCCCGTGTATTTAGCAGCATCCGCAAAATTTAATTATTTAGGATAAATTTATTTTCCCGGAGAATTGCGCGGCCAAAATATCTCCCGCGCACCTGCTTGCTCCTGTTTCATTTTTCCGTTCTTTGTTTTTTCTAGTTACACTCGTTAAAAGACTTCCACGGCCAAGGAAAGGTAGAAAAATAATTTAAATAGCGTTGCCAGGATGAAACGAATAATTACGTCGCGTTTAATACATCAAAATACCAGGACGACGACTTTGGGCGACGCAAATTTCTATTCACGGATTAGTTGTAATTTTCCAGAGAACGCGTGGAGAACTTTGCATTTTCCAGCTGAGAGGGTCGCATAAGTGGATCGTAAATTTCTGCCGTCAATACTATTATCCTTTGATTAGTGCAACCGCTCTTTCCCCGACGGCCGGGACACGTCGCATGCTAATTTCGCAATTCAAAGAGAAAAAGATGTGCAGAACGTTTCCTGGAGACGGTAAAAGGATTATGCACAATGCCGCGTTCGTTGTTCCGATTTCGCTGCAAACGTTTGATCAAAAGGCTTCCCGGGATGCCATTCTCTGGATTTTTCACCAAAGGCTGCGCTGTACTGCGTGTCGCTTTAAGAATAACTCACTCCGAAATCGTGCGGAAATTATCGGAAAGAGATCGTCTTTAACTTTGCAGTGTCAGTTCTCTGCAGAAGAAAACTGCGCGATGCTATTCCAGTTTCATGCTCGCGAAACGGGGAAAGGGATCATGCATATGCAATGTAATGCATTTACGCCTCTCATTTAATAGCTGCTACGCCGTAACAACCCGCGATAACAACTCCTTTATAAAATACAGCGGCTTCTCGCGTTTTTATTCGTCGACGCGCGAGCAATAAATTTCGGTAATTTGGAAAATCATCGATACCGCGAACGCGATCGAGGAAAACCGCGAGCCATTTCCTCGGGAAACGTGGCAGTCCGTTCTTTTTTTTTTCACCCCACGAATATATACGTCAATTATATCCGATTTCGCATGTGTGAGCGCGTGTCTGATGACACTCCGAAACTAGATGGGAACACCGAACTGCACTTCGGCTACCCATAAATTGTGTCTCGGACGAAGGGGAACAGCGGATCGAAAAAACCGATGAAAGCCGTGATACGTTCTCGATATCAACGTCTTGTGTCACGACAGAGTGTCACTGCGTCGGACAAAATTACGTGCGAAACCGTTTCTATGAATATTATTTCAGGCGTTACAAAATAAATGACGCAAATGAATACGCGACGATCGGGAAATCTGTTATTTCAACCGGATGAGAAATAATTAGAGACGTAAGGGAATCAGGTCGACCGCCGGCGGTATTCCGAAGCCACGCAAACGTTGGGAGTCACGCTGCGTGTACGCATTCCACGTTCGTGAAAATCAGTTTAACTCCTGAACGAACCTTTGCCGCCTACCAGGGCTAATCCCAGATCCGCAGGGAAGTTCACGACGGGGGTGTAAACCCGAGAATGTTGCGGCTAAGCCAGCTTCCAGCCCCTACCGCTCTAACCCCTGACTCCACCTCGCCTCCTGGCTCTCTCCATCGCATCGGAGCGTTCGGTACGATACCTGCTGCGAGTCTAGGCCAACCTCCGGCTTATCCCGACGACACTCGTTCGATACCGTAAAAGCCTGCGCGAGGGGGTGGACAGGAAGCAAGAACGAAACGGTGGAGGATGCGCTCGGAAAGATGGGGGATGTCGGTGGTTGCGAGCTATCCTCTACCACCCTTGCCACAGAGCGAGAGAGGCCGACCCCCCGTCGAGGGATCCCATAAAAATAGCTAGAGTAACTTTTTTACTTTATCACCCACAGGCCCTCCCGCGAACTACCCCCCCGTGTACCTGCGAGCACACACGCACACCCTCGCAATATACCACCCGGAGCTTCCTGGCCTAAACTAAACCCGTGATACCGGCCGCTATTTCTTACCCGAGCTTTGCAACTTCGAACCTATTAACTCATAAACAATGCGATAAAAATAATTCTCCTATCTCTCAAATGAAATTCCAGAATCACGCTGTGGTACAAACGGTGTCGTCATTGATTTAATGAGACGTAATAAAATTACGGGAAGGCAACGTCGTCGGTTTTCGCTTATCAAACGTCCGGTAAGCTTTGATCGTTTCTCTCTCTTTCAAAGACGGCCAGCCGCGCTTCGTCGTTACGTCTAGTCTGTCAATTACCGATAAAAACAACGCGTCGCGTAACGAGCGACGCGACAGTTCGGCAACGTAACGTGCCCGGACGGAATGTAAATTATCGCGTCTACTGCAACGATAAATAACGCGGAACCTCAGCTGAAAAAAAAAGAACGACCGCACCGGCTGTCACGCGTTTGAAAAAAGGGTCAATGGTTCTGGAACGGATCGCCACCGAAATGTGCGATCGACCGGAGGAATTTCGCGCGTTTCCGGGCACAGATCGTTCTTACAAAGGGTAAATGCTGCGAATTCTTCGAATCGGTCATATCCGAGACCGGTCAACGCATTTCTGTATCAGTCTGGCAACGTTCCTCCTTTTTGTTTGAGTAAAGTTGGGAAATTCGCTCGTATTTCTTGCGTAAGAGTTGGCTGGAGGAAAAAACGAGGTTGGGAGGAGGAAAAAAAAAGAAGGTGGGATAACAGGCGCGAAGCTAACAGCGAAAAGGTGTTGGCGCGTTAACAAGAATGAAAACGCGAACAACCGAAACCGAAGCAGGGAGATGATTTTTATCCGCGTTGCACAGCGACGAGACCAGCCACTTCCTCGGTACTTTTTGAGACGTGTGGTGACAAGCAACGGGAAGTGGAGAGAGAGAGAGAAAGAGAAAGAGAGACGGTGCGCCGCGGGAGAAAAAGATAAATAGATGGATAGACAGGGAGTCGTATCCAGCGGCAGAGCTTTCGTTCCCGCTACCCTCGAGGATGATTTTTCGAGAACACGCGACAGCGAGCGAACCTCCGAGGAAATCTTCGTGCTCGACCTCGGCTATTTCCCTTTCCATGACACGCAGACAGGACAGACAAGGTTGGATCTGCATTAACTATGGATCTCATCCTCCTTCTTTTCGAGATTCTTTTCGCGGTCTCTCATATTTTTCTCCGCGTAAACCGTTTCGTTCGACTCGCATGCGCGGGCCGATGGCCAAAAACGCGTGACGAATGAAAAAAAAAAAAAGAGGTTGAAATTGAACAACCTTTCCCCTGGCGTGCGCCAGTCGGAATTCTACTGTAACCGTCGCATTCAAATCGAGGAGTCCTTTGGGGAGAGCGATCGGGATCGAAACTCGCGCGCCTATATAAAGTCGTTTCGACTCTGCTGGGAGCGTCCGTCCGAGCGGATCTTCGATGCGCGAGAATTAGCGAGTGAATGAAATTTCCGGGCGGGTTGCGGCCGGCGAAAATCTTAGTCGGTTATCGATTCTGTCCAGCATCTGCGGAAACGAGATTCGCGAGCGACGCGGCGATCCAAATCGGAGATCGCGACGTAATTAATTGCACCCGAAACACAGGCAGGGATGTGTCATCGTCATTTCGGAGTCAGCATAAAGTGGCGGTTGAATTAGCGAGTATCGAGGCGGTGGATTACCATGTAATGTGACCGCGATTACCATGCGGAGAGTCGATGATACACGTCATCGAATCGAAATTACTTGCAGTGCTCGAGCGATCGCGATGCCCACGAAACGTTTCCCCCCTCTGTCCGTCCGTTTTTTAACGTCTTAACGTCCATATAGAACGCCAGGCGCATCCCTTGGCGTTGGTTTCACTCTTCCGGTTCGACGTCCGATTTCCAACGCGCGAACAATATCGTAGTATTCCGCGGCTTTTACGAGTCGGTTGAAACCAACGGTTAGCGAGGTCGACGGCGCGCCAATTCGGTACGCGCGCACTAAAACTAAACGCATCGGAAATGTTTACGCGCGTACACGCGGCCGCGAAACACGCGTATAAATATAATATACATCGCTCGTTATTCGGCGAGAACTCAAAGCGATATTACTCCGGATACGAGCTTTTTAAACGCGACCGGCTTCTCTAGCTATTCCGGGATCCACTTGCTGCTTTACGACGTGTTAATTTAGAAATTTGCCCGTGACGCGAACGGCCGCTCGCGTATGGCCATTCAAAGCCGCGAACAAAAGTGTATGCCGCGCACACGTTCTTTTACTATCTTTTCACGTGAAAGATCACTCTTCGTTCCACGTGTCGTCGATTTTTATCGAACGCGATCGAACACGACCAGTCCGTTCGTATATATGCTGACGATCTGAATCGTACAGTTCTCCAAGCACGAGAAAGTGCAACACTTAACAAAGTCCAGAGTCCAGGTAAATGTCCAATGTCTCTGAAAATAAGTGGATTTTTCTGGTCGATTACTCACCACCATTTTGCGCGATAATAGGGTCGATAGCCACCAACAGGACGAGGAAGATAGGAGTCATATTGACCACCCTCTTTCCCGTGATCACTGCACACTTAATACCACCGTCGCAGCGTTTCCACCTATGAAAAAACAGATCACCCTCGTCATAACATACCACCTTCACTCGGCTTCCAGGGGTTGATCTTCGTTCGAGACGAAGATGATCCGAAGCTAGTCGGCTAAACCAATGGAGCAGGACGGGTAATTCGTTCTCTCGAGCAGTACTTCCTACCAAGGGCCGATCACTCGCAGGGTTTTTAGCTAACTCGCGTAAAAAAATACTCTTTATCGGCGGTGACTCGTCGATGAGCGACGGACAAGCACGGACAAGGGGCACGGAAACGCTTATTCAGCGAGGATCGAACGTAACTATCGACACGCGCCATTTACTACCCGGCACCCGGCACCGTGTTCTACGTAAAAACGTGAATCTCGCGGGCATGCTCGTACACGCCGAAAGAACAATGCGACAAGTTTTTCACGAACATCGTTAACGACCGCACACACCCGTTCGCTCGTCGAGGTCGCTCGACGACCACGTTCACATCCTCCCATCGGCGCGGTACATTTCTCCTCTTGTTTCCGCTTCTACCGTACACACACGGGGAAAAAGAGAGATCGATCCCAAAGACGATCCGTGTCGTATCCAAAAACTGGCCTCCCGACGTATTTCCCTGAGGACCGACGCACTTCCCTCGACCCTTCCGCTTTACGACGAGTTTTATTCTTTCCTCTCGCACAAACGACTAATAAGCTGTATCGCCGAAACTGATCCGAACGCTCGTCTCTTCCTCTTTTTCTTATTCTCCTTTCGGAAAACCTTCAACATTCCCCTCTCGATCGGCGAACTCTGGTTATCTGGACTCTTTCTTGCGGTGATTCCACGACCATTCCATATTTTTCTCTGTATCGCTCGGAAGAACACTTTCGGCAAGCTCCTCGTCAAGCTTCGACGTCGCAACGCATTCACTCGTCACCCGGAGTCGTCCGTTCGACTTCCGTTCGTTAAGGTTACATCCCTTCGCTTCTCGATTCGGATCTCCTCTTTGCACTCGACTCGGTAATGGAAAATAGATTTTTACGCTTTCCAAACATCTTGTGTTACAAATATTTCTCGAGAATACTCGAACGACTCTCGGGATGTTTTCAAGAATTTCATGCGAAGGATTCTCTATTCGCATGCGTCCTTTCTACCCCCATTCTCGTTACTTCCCTTCGCCCTTTGATTTGTACTGTGCAACTGGAACTCTCTGTGACTGACAAGGACTTCGTAACCGCACAACGTGAACCAATCGACTACTATCGGAATTAGCTTGGCTCCTCGTAACAGTAAAATTAGAATGTCGAAAATAAGAGGTAGTCCAATGAGTCCGGTTGTCACGAAAATCACGAACAAGCGTTCGACACGGCTCGAACGAAAGTAGACGACTGAACACGTGCGAACCCGTAATTGTCCTAGCCGCAAACTTGAAGTTGAATCGCAAAATAGGCTGCGATATTATAAGGTATCGGGTTGACGGTAGTTTTCTGAACGCGCGCTGCGGCTTGACTGACTCATCCCCATACCCCCCGACGGTACCCCCTCGCGACCTACCACCGAAACGCGCGCACGCGCGAAATCCCCTCTGACTTTCGCGATCTCAACGCCTGTGAATTCGCGCCAATCAACTTATTATGTAAAAAAATTATTTAAAATCGTTGTGAAATATAGATGTGAATTTTAGGTCGACTTAAGAATATTCCGAAAAGATTGAATAAATGAAAAGGCACAGGGATCAATTTTTAATCGAAAGTCGATGGTTGAAAATCTCTCGGTGCTTCTATCCTCATACAAATTTCAAGGGCCCGAGAATTCGCTGGCGAACTTTTGAACTATTAAACGAAGGACCCCTTCGGATTCGAGAAAGATGTTGCAATTTAGCTGCGAATAAAATAATTAAATAGACAGCGATAAAGTCTTCGAAGAACATTAAAAAAGCTAGAGGGGCGAATCGGCGTGGAGAGGGTGGTTTCGGCGCTGGTTTAAACGCGACGCATGCGTTCCCGCGCGAGAGGATGTCCTCCGGGGTGAGCCGCCGCCGTACTCTGGCCGACGTATCGCAGTTTCTAGCTCGATGTTTGTCCGCGTGGTACTCCCAGGGACGGTGGTGGTGCTCGTGGCAGCCACGAGGGTGTCGGTATCCGAAACCATCCGGAAACGCTTTGGAGAACGAAAGTATCGGTACATCCCGCGACGATCTTCGACGCTTGCGCTCGTGCGGGGCCGGACGCGACCTAAAACTTGCCGGAGCTTTTTCCCTTTTCCTGAAGCCCGGACCAACCACGGAACTCGGAAGGGAAGTACCCCTGGGAGTACGGCGAAGCTTCCATCCCCCTGAGCGAGAAGAAACCCCCCCGTGTCAGCGTGATACTCTTTTCGAGCGGGTAAGTGGCCAACCGTGTGCACTTTCGAACACTTTCCACCTAGCCCTCTCTTCCTCTCGTTTATTATTAACGCTGCCGGGAGCGAGATATCGATAGAGTCCCGCACTCTCCCTCTAAATTAGAATCAAAAAACGAAGTGGGATCAATATTGAGTTAGAAATAATGTTCTAAATTCGCTTTAACTACCCTCGTTCTCGTCGAATTGACCTCCAACTGACAAAGGCCGGTGATTCGCGCGCGGAATATCGAATGCGCAGCTGGCAAACGTTCACGTTTTCAAACGAAATTACTCCGGTCCCTGGGATTGTCGGTAATTTTTTAATAAGCGCGACCCGTTTCTTTTCCTCGTTTCAACTATCGATTACGGGGAGTGGGAACGGGGACAAAAGTAACGGGGATGGAAGCGACGAAGCTAATTAAATTACCGAGCTGGGCGACGATAAGACCTGCACAGTCGGACGATTAGACGTTATGGCTTAATAATAACCTGTCCATTAGCGGTGGTGTCATTAGGAATGGGAAGAACGTGAAACAATAACGCGTTATTCCGATAATTCGAGTTTCCCCCTGACTACGTCTCTGCGAAATTGTCGGACATTTTGCAGCTCGTTTTCATTTCCTTTTAACTCGGCGAGCTTACATCGCCGCTCACCCGCTTCTTCCATCTGAAATCGCTCGTCGAAACAAAAGAGAGAAGCGGACGAGCCAACGGACTGTGAGTCAGAAATATAAACAGGTCAACGTAACTTGGCAACGGAGAGAGAAAAGTCGAGGACGGGAAAAAAGACACCGTGTTCGTATCTCCTAAGGGAAAACCGTGTTCCTTTGCTCTCGGCTATAATAAAAAATTCCAAGGTGTGCCCAACTTAATTTAATATCGTGGTCGGTGCACCGTGACCCAATGATAAATCCCGTTCAACTCTATTCTTCTATTTTAAATATCTGCCTACTCTTCCCCGAACAAAAGACGAACATTGTACGAGAATAACCAGGAAAGAACGCGGTCCGGGGGACCGTAAATTAAGATGGGTCGTCGACTGGCAAGGGAAATAAGAAGTCGTCCTGTATCGAAATGGCTGTACATGCTCGTCCATTGTTCGCTAGCTCCGTGCAACTAAACTCCACGCTCATAGATATGTCCGAGCTTTGTTCGCGAGAACGACTCGTCGACGATGAAAAGGCACGGAGCTGATATTTACGCGTGTCATCCGATAACATTTACGATAGATTTTCCGTGTTTACTTTTCCGGATGCGGGACACAGCACTCTGATCCGCTTATCCGGGAATTACGAATTTATAATCCGGTCGAACGCAGTTCTTGGATCTACAAAGCGGCACGGCCATCGAATCGAATCGAAAAGCGTTACAACGACCGCGCGCGTTTTCCGCTCTCGAAACTTATTCGCTAATTATCGAGCATCGTTATACCGACAATTATACGGGATAAGCTTTGTCCTCGTCTTCGCCGCGTTTCACTTGACGGTAAATGAGCCAGTGAAACGACTCAATAATATCTGAAACGCGACTCTAAGCGGTTAACCACCGATTCTTTGTCGCGACCATTTAAATTGGACAAAATGTTGGCCTGATGAAAAGATCGCGATAACAGGGAAAGACGCGTCTCGAATTTTTCGAATCGCATTCGCGGAGGGAGCAAGAATGGAAGAGAGGAAACAGGACGCCAACAGCGACGGTCATGTAAAACGTCGCGGGACAATCGTACATCGCGCGCATTCTACTAACTTATGAATAAACATTTCTTGGCGCCACCCAGTGGAAAATTACTCTCGGAAATGTCCCTATCCTTCTGTCGTCTTCTTTTCTTTTATTTTCTCCTACCCCCATTCATCGTCTTCCCTTTTCTCTTCTCTCTCACAATCTCGTCGTTATTCTACCCCTTTTTGCGCAGCCGAGAACTAGAATTCCGCCGGTCGGTGAAACGACTGGAAAGATAGCGAGAGGTCCGGTTCGATTTTTCAACGGAAATTAAAAGCGAACTCGCGGCGGCCGCGATAAAATAATTTGGCTAATACAACGGGGAAGTTTATAAATTGTAAATCAAGCCCGTTTTATGTACGGCCGTTGGCGCGGCATCGGGACACCGTTTCTCGCGATTAATGTTGACACGATTTGGGGCCGCGTTTGATAATTAGTTGATCGTCGCGCTGATATATAATACATGCGAGGAGCGCGGGACTCGCGGTAAAAGTGAATTTCGTGTCCCTCGGCTGTGTTGGTTCGCGCTAAACAGACTTTGACTAGTTATTTTCGAAACTGAATCCGATATACGTGTGCATAATAGTAACGGCCGGCTAACGCGTACGCGTACGTACGTGTGTACGTATTTGCCGGGAATTTCAACGTTTCCGCGAATGTCTACGGGTGAAATTGAAATGCGATTCGATTGCGATGCAATAAACCGTGCGCTCTGTGTGCGCGAAAATTAAAAAACCGCAGCATTCAATGAATCGATATGTGTCACTCTTTCACAGGTAGGTAAATTAAACGCGTTTCAATTAGCAATTTCCTCCATGGGGTTAAATAGAATTTACCCTTCCAACGATTCGTTAAACTTCTACCTGCACGGTTTAGCGTGCCGATAATTTGCTTTCTACGTATCCGGCTAATTCGCAATGTAAGCCGTTGCCCATCGAT